AGAGTGTAGTTAAAAAAATGACCCAGTGGACCAGTTAAACCGTGATAATTCATATGATTTTATCTTGAACCATTAAAAACCATTTGGTCCATCAATAACCGTTCAAGAAATGAACCAACCACTATCGTAAGTGGTTTGATGATTCTACTAGCTCAGGCCTTCATCCGGTTCGATTCTATAACATGCCTTTTTGGGTCCTATACCAAATCACGCTTCTGTTCTCATACTAATTGGTAGTTGCTTTAAATCATTAATGCAAACTACGAATCCGGCCAACGGACCGGGTAATAGTATTCACCTGAGGAAAAATAGTATTCACCTGAGGAAAAAACTCATATAATTATAAAATTATATCGTAAATGAAAACCAATATCCCACCTCCATTAAAAATAATACGGCTTAATTGCAAGTTTGGTCACTCGAATTGCTTAAAAATTTCACGTTTGCCACCCGAATTGATTTATTCCATTTATAGTCACTCGAATTAGTTGAACAGTTCAAGTACGGTCACTCTCCGTTAACCTCCGTTAACCTCCGTTAATGACGACCGTTAAGTGATGACGTGGCTAACAGAAAGACACAGTCAGCACATTTAAACATTAAAAAAAGACAACCCGACCCGACCCGCCAGCTCACCCTTACCCGCCCAGTCAGCCATTCTTGCCCAAACCCGCGAACCAGACCCAATTAACTGACCCTAAACCCAAACCAGTGACCCAACCCCCCCTGAAAACTAAATCGCAGACCCAATTAGAGCATTTCCCTTCCTCTCCATCTTCATCCTCTCATCCTCCCGGCCGCCTCTCTACTTTGCGCAATCTTCTCAGTAGAGGTGGAAATGAGCGCTTCAAGAAGCATGTCGATAAACTGCACCGAATACCATCCAAACCCTCTCGCCGCATTTGCTTCATTTTATTCAGAAGACGAGATTACGCGATGAAATTAGAGAGGAAGAAAACAGAAACGCTCACTACCGATCTCCCTACCAACCATAATCACTTCTGCAGGCCATGCGAGCATCAATCGCACTTACGTAAACGGCACGAGGAGAAAAGGGATCAGAGCTTAGCGAAACGGAGGAGAGAGGCTGAGTGGGATTTATCGGAGAGATGATCGATGATGGCTCAGTTTCTCCGTCGGAGCGGGGGAATTGCAACGCCGGCGTGGGGACGTGGTGGTGGTGGTATCCGCCGGAAGTTCTGAGAGCTATCAAACAGGCGAGGATTCCAATTTCCAACCCTTCGACGCCGATTTTCGCTGGTGTGCAAAGTAGAGAGGCGGCCGGGAGGATGAGAGGATGAAGATGGAGAGGAAGGGAAATGCCCTAATTGGGTCTGCAATTTAGTTTTCAGGGGGGGTTGGGTCACTGGTTTGGGTTTAGGGTCAGTTAATTGGGTCTGGTTCGCGGGTTTGGGCAAGAATGGCTGACTGGGCGGGTAAGGGTGAGCTGGCGGGTCGGGTCGGGTTGTCTTTTTTTAATGTTTAAATGTGCTGACTGTGTCTTTCTGTTAGCCACGTCATCACTTAACGGTCGTCATTAACGGAGGTTAACGGAGAGTGACCGTACTTGGACTGTTCAACTAATTCGAGTGACTATAAATGGAATAAATCAATTCGGGTGGCAAACGTGAAATTTTTAAGCAATTCGAGTGACCAAACTTGCAATTAAGCCAAAATAATACAATAGCTTTTCATTGGAAAAATAATAACAGTCTCTATCTTCTTCATCCGGTACCGTCAATCTCGATTTATCCGCTCCCAATTCTCCTTCCTCCGAGGTCGCCGGTCATCACTCATCGGTCCCAAATTACCCGCCGGCCGCCAGCGCCTCGATTTCTTCTTCAACTTCCGCCCCATAACTCTTTAGCTTCCTTCATCGCTTCATCTCCGCTTAACAGCTTTAGGCGCCCCCCTCTGTTCCTCCGTCGTGGCGGCGTAGACGAAAGAGAGTAGCGCTTGGCAGGAGATCATCGAAATCAGATCTCAGCTACTCTCCTCGTAGTCTTTTCTTTACCGTCCCCGATTCCTTCAGAACACCTAGGGAGAGAGAGACAATCAGAGTCTGGACTGCATGTCAAGGATGGTACATATATTCTCTCCAGTAGATTGATCCACCTGCTGATCCCCAAGAATGCAGCCCAGATCTTCTAACCCTTCAAAGGATTGAATAACATCAGCAACCGTTGTCGGAAGGGATATTTGTCTTCTCCCCTGCCTGCCAGTATATCAGCATTGCCTGCCGATAACAATCACGGTGGAACCCGCGCTCTAGCGATACAAAATTGATTCGCGAATTTGGAACGCTTCACTGAAAATTTGCGTTTTTGCGAATTAGCGTCGGGGCAACTTGCGCGAATTGGGTAACATAAGGTCCGTCCCTGACTAATACTTTTTATAGAAAATCGCTATTTTCATTGGAACACCTAGGCACCTCTTAGACGTGCTAGGCAGGGATTAGGGTTGGAAAATTCACCTCACAAACTTCCTTCCCTATCGGTCTCTCTTTCTAGGCTCCCGCAATATGGCCATTGAAAGGAATCCAGAGGAAGCTTTTTTTTTTAGGGAAGGAATCCAGAGGAAGTTGTAAAGCGAGCAAGGGAGGAAACTGGGGAAGCAGAGAGCGGCGACGCCGGAAGAAGCTGTTAGCGAACTAACCACTTGGTCCCAATAACTCGAGTTGTTGGGAAAGGGATAGTTAAGCCTTTTAACCTCTAATACGCCCCCTCAAACGAAAGCCGATGCCGAATTGTGGATTTTTACGGTTTGCACAGGTTGAATCCTTGTGCTGCCAAACCACGAGGCTTTAGTTTGCAAGGGTTGGACATACCATTCCTTGTGCTAAACAAATTGGCATGAAATGGGGGTCGTTATGAGGATTCGAAACCATGACCTTTCGGTTCTAGGCTCTGATACCTTGTTAGTCTCCTTTCTGCTACACCTTCTTCCCATGACCCTAAACTTCTTTATCCTCTTAGTGACTGCATCACTTATGACCACCTTTCTCCTTCTCACAAACATTTCTCCTTGTCCATTACTGTCCTTCCTGAACCTCAAAGTTACAAACAGGCAAAACTGATTCCTTGCTGGGACAATGCCATGACTGAGGAAATGGCAGCACTGGATGCCAACAGGACTTGGGATGTGGTTGATCGTCCTGTTCACAAACCTGTTGTTGGGAATAAATGGGTTTATAAAACCAAATACTTGCCTAATGGTTCTGTTGAAAGATGCAGGGCACGTTTAGTTGCCAAGGGTTATACACAAACACATGGAGTGGATTTTATGGATACTTACTCTCCAGTGGCAAAAATGAATTCTGTTAAGCTGCTCTTGGCTGTTGCTGCTATTAAGGGTTGGGATTTGCAACAAATGGATGTCAGTAACGCGTTTTTACATGGGGATCTGGATGAGGAAGTTTACATGGAGCTTCCTCCCAATCTCAAAGAACAGGCAGGGATGCAAGGCAAGGTCTGTAAACTCAGAAAATCGATTTATGGTCTCAAGCAGGCCAGTCGTCAGTGGTACCTTAAACTCAGTCAGTGTTTACAGAGTTTTGGGTTCATTCAATCTTATGATGATTATTCTGTCTTTAAATTACAACGTCAGGAATCCTGTGTCATTGTGATCATCTATGTTGATGATTTGATCATTGCTGGAAATGACACAGAACTCATTACACAGACCAAGAATCATCTACATATGTCCTTCAAAATCAAAGACTTGGGTACTCTCAAGTATTTCCTTGGGGTTGAAATTGCCCGATCTGCTGATGGCATTTCTCTTTGCCAACGCAAATTCTGTTTGGAATTACTATCAGATGCTGGCTTCCTCGAATCCAAGCCTGCCAAAACTCCAATGAGCATGAAGACTTCTTTATCAGCTTCTGATGGTGTTCCTCTTCCAGATGGCTCTGATTTTCGTCATCTCTTAGGGCAGCTTCAATATCTCACGACCACCAGACCTGACATCTGCTTCCCTGTTCAGCAGCTCTGTCAATTTCAGGGAGCCCCAACCACTTCTCATTTGCAAGCGTTGCACAGGATACTCAGGTACTTAAAAGCTCATCCATCTCAAGGTCTGTGGTTCCCTTCTTCCAATTCGACTCATCTTACAGGCTACTGTTACTCTGACTGGGCAACTTGCCTTGACACAAGGCGCTCAGTGACGGGTTATTGTACTTTTCTTGGGAACTCATTGATCACTTGGAAGAGTAAGAAACAATCTACTGTATCCCGTTCCTCGTCTGAAGCGGAGTATAGAGCTTTAGCTCAGCTCTCGTGTGAGGTTCAGTGGCTGAAGTCACTTATGGGTTTCTATGGTGTTGAGCATCCATCACCAATTCGAATCTATTGTGACAATCAATCTGCTTTACATATTGCCGAAAACCCAGTCTTTCACGAGCGCACAAAACATATAGAAGTCGATTGTCATGTAACTCGTGAAAGACTGAGGTCTGGTTTACTATCCTTGCATCACATCCAATCAGAAGAGCAACTTGCAGATTTCTTCACAAAAGGGTTGTCTTCTGATCGCTTTGATACTTTGCTCACCAAGCTAGGAGTTCACAATATGTTCCTCCCAGCTTGAGGGGGCCTGTGAAGGAGTGATGCTGTTGGCAGCCATAGATGCAGAGCTTGAAGATTCAGAGTCAACTCAGGCTTCCTTTCACCTGTGTTGAAGACGAAGAAGAGGCTGCCCATCCGACGTCGCTTTCATCTAAGTAGTGAACTCTACAAGAAGAGAACGGCGTCGCATAGTGAACCAGAGCATAATAGATAAATAGCCACTTGGCATTTTGTAGTTGGATAGTTTAGTTACCGTTAGTAAACAGTATTCTACTTTACCTTTGTTGTTTGATAGTGGTAACTCAGCTGTAGAGACTGATGTATATATTGCTCTCAGAAAATGGAATGAAGCCTCTCGGCAAATTCCCCCAACGTTGCCTCTCTTCTTCTTCTGTGTTTACCCTAATTCTCTGCTAGGGTTTCAGGTTTTCTCAGAAGCGATGATGTCTGGAAGAAGGAGAAGCGGAAAAAGGACGCCGGAACGGAGGGGGTGGTCCGTTTGGGTACGATGGAATTCACGACTTCCCGTGAGATGTTTCAAACTGTCAAAGGGTGGATGACCGATAGTTATCTAAATTTCCCCGTCGTCCATGTGGGTATTCTATTCCATTGTTCCTCTGTCTTCATTCATAAATATACTGATTGCTTGACAGATAGATAGATACATCGCGTGAGCTAGCTAGGGGTTTCTGTTGTTCGATGGCTTACGTATAAATAATTTAGGATTTGATTTCTGGAACTAGATCTCCACTCGCCTTTGCTGATTAATTCTTTGTGTTGCAAGGAATGATCCTCATCTCTTCAGGATCGGACCGGACCATGATGTGTTTGTTGGTTGCGCTTTTTCTTTTCACTTCATTTGCTGCTACTGCCTTTGTTTATTTGCTTAATTGTAGCCAAGGTTGCCTTCCTTCGAACATCATTCTGAGTGTACAAGCTTGAGCATTGATGATGTGGGAATGTATAGTGTAGTTTAGTGCTTTACTCCCTTTGTTTTGTCAGTTATGCTTAGTCTGTTTTTCTTTCTATCAAGTCGGGAAGGGAATGGTGGGTCTTTAGTTATATATCCAAGGCTTCAATAATGCTGTCTGTGAAAGTCTACCGTGCTCATACCATTGATAGATTTTGATTAGATTATTTGTTATCTTCTGGACGGGGTGCTTTAGTTAATGCTCTGATTCTTCTGCTCTGTGAAATTAACTTGTGTACAGTTATCTGATTCAGTTGCTTGCTTGCTTGCACATTCTTTTGGCAGAGGATCGTGCCGAGCTTGCTGGACTTGGTGAAGAAGGGTCATCCCGAGCCACATAAAATGATTGGTTGTGGGGTCGATTCATTTCGAGTCCGAAACGACACGATGTGCAGCCACTTCCGCACCTTCTTTATCGTTAGGAAAGATGATTCGACCGCAGATTTCTGCTTCAGGACCTGTGTAAACAACATCCTTCCATTACCCGAGGATTTGAAAGATCAAGGGGGTGTTGTTGTTGCTGTTTGTGCATGTCATATAGCAGGAGGCATGGGTCGTTTGCGTGCTGATAGAGTGGCAGAGGAACTTGAAAGGCTTACACGAGAACAAAATGCTAGGCTAGATGAGGAGGAGAGGATGGGAAGGCTCAACACCGTCATCTTGGGTTCGAAGAAATTCTATTACTCCACGCAATTGTATAGATACTTTTACTCGTTGCTTATGAGGTCCCCACTTAATTAGACTCTCGTCGAGGTAATGCGTTTATTCATTCATGCCCATTACTTTTGTTTTGATCTGTATTTAAACATAGATTGCATGTCATTTATTGCTTGTGGGTGTGATTGTAGAAGCATGCCCACCTGATGTTACTGGAGTTATTGAAGAAGGGTGATCCAGAGTCGGAAAAAAAGATTGGTTCTTCTGGCGTCGAATCATTTCAAGTTCGAATCCATCCAGCATACGATAGTGATCTGAGAAGCTTCTACTTTGTTAGGGGAGATGGTTCTATGGAGGATTTCTGCTTCATCAAATGTGTTGATCATATCTTTCCCTTGACAGAGAAATTTCAAGAACAATGCGTTGGTCCTTGTAGCTGTCATCATGAAGAAGATGGGGAAGGTGGTGTCACCTTGGGTTGGCTGAAATTTCAGAGTTCAACACAAATGTTTTCATATTTCGGAAGTTTGAATCATCTTTGTCCATATGAATCTCCTATCACCGACCCGGTATTTGCTCTATGATATTTTCCTATCCCTGCCTTTATTGCATGTTCTACATTTTGGAGCCATCAATCAGTTTTATGGCGTTCTTTCTTGCTTTGAAGACTCAACTGGATTATTTTTTTGTTTTTGTTTTTTGGTTTTGTGTATGTAGGTTATTCAAACGGTAGTGTTGGCTTTGCTGAAGAAGGGCGATCCAGAGTGGGAGAAGAAGGTTGGTTCGGGAGGGGGTCTCCAATCAGTACAAATTCGGAGGCCCACAGTGGGGAGCTATCCGACCTACTTCGTTGTTAGGAACGATGGTTCTATGGTGCCTTTCTGCTTCTGGACATGCATCGACAATCTCATTCCTTTGCCAAATGACTATAAAAACCGATGTGCTGCTGGTGCTGGTCTTAAAAGTTTCAGAGGAGCTATACGTGGCGCTAGTGGATGAAGTCATGGCCGCCGCACTTTGATTTGAAGGGTTGGGTTTCTCTATTTGTTACATGGTGTCGTAGTTTGGTTTATTGTATGTATGTTTTGCAAGCTTTACTTTTGACATTAGAAAGTGTTTGGGATGTTGAGTTTTAGAGAAAAAAATCCAAAAATACACACATTATTAAAAAAAATCCCAAAATACATACGTTATAAAAAATATTCCCAATCTACACATGTTTGGGTTTTACCGCGATTGTCAACCGCAGTGAATAACATCACCGCGACCGTCAACCGCGATGAATGCTTCACCGTCAATGTCTGAAGCGGTGTCCATTCACCGCTGGTGTCCCAAACGGTGATGGACTAATTTGGGTATTGGCCAAAAGTCCATGGCCGGAGTTGCTGTTGCGTTGGCACTTGACTGAAATGGAGGGGAAAAATCCAAGTACTTTTGGGTGCTTGATCGCCATCGCACCCAGCGTCGACCACAGCTGCGTCGGATGCTTGAAATCCTTCACCAGTCCGGGCACCGCCGGCCCCCGAGAAACTCTAGCGCCCTCGACCGCACGTCCACGGGCTCCGCCACGATCTCCGATGCTCCGTTGGTGGGAGGACCAGGAGGAGCAGTTCTTCTTCTTCTTCTTGTTCTTATTCCGGTTGCGGTTGGCGTGGTCGCTGCCGCCGCCGCACTGCCGCCGCCGCAGCTTCATGATGTGTCATCGAGCAGAGATGTGTTGGTTCATAATCAACAACCCAGAACCACTAATTATATACCTCTTGCCAAAACAAAACAAAACAGAGGTCACATCAGCTGCAGCCATTGGAGTTTACAGCTCCCCCCTCCAAGAACTCGCCCCTACAGCAGGGAACTCGAACCAGAACCATAAGAAGAGGAAGCCAACCAAATTAGGCCATCACCGCTTGGGACACCGGCGGTGAATGGACAAGGTGATATTCACCGTTTCGGACAGTGGCGGGGAAGTATTCATTGTGGTTGACGGCCGCGGTGATGTTATTCACTGCGGTCGTCAACCGCAGTGAAGCCCAAACATGTGTAGATTAGGAATATTTTTTATAACGTATGTATTTTGAGAATTTTTTTTAATATCGTGTGTATTTTTGGATTTTTTCCAGTTTTAGATGCCATTCATAAGTTGTTAAATCCCCATTATATTTAGATTGGTTTATGTACCATTATTTACTGCTTAAATTAAGGTTAAGGTTGTGTGATGGTTTCTTTTGTAGAGCTCACTTTTTTAGGTTAGGTGTGGATTTTGATTTGTGCAACCTGTAGATACTCTACCGAATTCATGTCACATCTACTTTCTAAGGGTTCAGATATTTGGAGGAAATTAGGATATTTTACAATATTCTTTTTATATAGTCTCGCTAGTCTAATGCATTCTTCAACTTAAATTTTAGACGTAGATTTACCACAAGCTATGGTTCACCCTGTTTCTTTTCATGTGTACAATTTAAAAGTACAATATATTACAAATTTGTTAACTTATAATGAATAACCTATTTACCTTATCTCGAAAAATGTTTATGAAATTTACTATATATATATATATATATACATATATGGTGCCTTCAACGGTACTCCGGATGAAATCCGGGGTACCGCATACCTTGAGTATGAAAACACTATTTAGACCTCGAATTAGCAGGATTTTTGGGCATGATATTATACCCTAACCCTTAATGAACGAATCCTAAGTACTAATTATCTAAATCATACACTATAAATCCTAAGATGGTGCATTGATTTTGTTGCCTATATTTGGACGAATCATAACCGTCGATTATTGTTTCTAATTAAATTGATCTTGGGGTATAAGATTTAGAGAATTAAGACCTAGGTTTTGATCTTTAAAGGTTAGAGTACAATATCATGTTCGAAAGATCAGTCAATTCAAGTTCTAGATAGCGTTTTCTTACTCAAGGTATGCGGTACCCCGGATTTCACTCTGGGTACCGTAGAACTCCCCATATATATGGTTCAGGCTAGCGTATGCCCGAGCGTACGCTGACCTGCCGTATGCCCCATTGAGTTTTGGTATTTAGATCATGAATTAATCGGAGTTTGGGGCATGATACTATACCCTAACCTCTAATTGGTGAACCCCAGTTCCTAATTTTCTAACCTAAATTGAAAAATTCGTTTAATGATCAACGATATTTTCAATGAATCAGCATCGTTGATTTTCATTTCAAGATTAAATGAATCTTATGGTTTAGGTTAGTGAATTGAGGATTGGGATTGACACGTTAGGGTATAATATCATGCCCCAAACTCCAATCAATTCATTGTCTAAATCGCCAAACTCAACAGACGTACGGTAGACAAGCGTATGTCGAAATAAACTGCACCTCGTCAAAATTCAAGCAGCAACTTCTATGTATTTTAATGCTTTTTGTTTCAGTTTATTTGCTTGAAATTTTAATAATTTATAGATTTTTTTTCTTTTCACGTGGCAGAACTAAGTAGCAGTAGTATAAAAACGGTTTATTTACTAGACATATATATCCAAGTAAGTTGCATGAAATATATAAAAGTCACTTAACATAAGTACTTAAGTTTACATTCCATCATGGAAAAATATCGTTTAGCCATGTAGAGTGGCCAACTAGGTAGCAGTAGTAGTCGTATAACAACGGTGCGCCATTGGAAAGTAAAGTTCGATCAAAATACTTCTTGTAGGGACAATATCTACTAGGACTGCCGGAAACCAAACTTCAGTTGTATGAAACAGAGCATAAATTCCCATCTATATGGAGAGCCAACTCCACTCCACGTATCAAGTAGGTAAGGCTGGTTCACACATCGAGTCGTCCCATATTATTGTTGGATGCAAACCTCACCTCTCTTGCTATGACGGCACCTCTTTCCTTCGCCATGTATAGCCCTACATGGTGCATAAGCTCCTGCCCACACACATATATAGTCGTCATGGTCTCATTGAACATCGTACAATATTAGGTTCTACTGAAGAGATCGGCTAAAAAACGGGCGTAAAAAGTTACCTGGGGATGAGCCATAGCACCCTTGGCCCTCTTTGAAGCATGGAGAGGGACATCAAACGTAGCACAGGCATTCGAACACACTACCACATTCTCCAGAGGTTTCAGAAATCCCAGGTTTCTGGCTGATAGCGTCGAGCAGACGAAGTCCAGCACGCATATGTCTGTGCACACCCCAGCCACCACTATCTGTGTAGCATTTCATTCGTGAATAGCAACAGTAATGAGACTAACGGCTCAAACGAATTGGTTCGATTAGCGGATACTATTCTATATCTATTCATAGAGGTGAAAGATCAATAATTTTTTTTACAGTTGTGATGGCATTCTTGGCAACCCAGTCGACAAAAACGTTGGACCCATCTTCCTGTATCGATCCCAAGAACCCATCGAAGCAGTCCTTCCTTCTGATTGTCACGTTTGGTTCCTTCTCAAGCCACTCTAAAGCTGCAGCGAAAGAAAAGATCCATACTTTCAGGCAGAGAAGTTGCAGCAAAGAGACATCGATTGGGGAAGAACAATACTAATTTGTTTAATTTGTACCGGGAACCAAGTTGGATTCAGGGGTGCCCACAAGGCAGTGAGGAGGGTATGGGTTTTCAGGCTTTCCAGGGTGATGGGAATCAAGGAAAACCATGACAGGGAGCTTCTTCTCACAGAATAACCTTGCCATCCTCTCCGATTCCTTAATCATTTCGGTGATCTGCGTATTCGGCTCTGTTGGAGCCTTTTTAAAACAGGGTAGGGTAATAATCATTATTCTCTTTTAAACACTTGCCCAGCAAAATTTTCACTTCCATCTATGTATTAAGAGAAAGAGATTGTTCACCAAATTCCCGGCTCCAACGGTGCAGAATCCGTTGATGATGTCCACAAGTACCAGACCGGAGACAGCTCCTTCGTCCTCTGGAATCACCATCGCTTCCTTCTCAATTGGGAGCTCGTCTTTCACGAGATCAGCTGTACTTTTGATGATCATCTTACCCCTTTTCTCTCTTCCCTTTTGGCCGCCGTGCAGCGCAAAGCAGAGGAACTAGAGGCAGAGTCCCCGAGAAAAAGATGGAGAAGGAGAAGAAACTAGAGTGATTGGACTTTGGAGTGAGAGTAGATCGGTCTTGGAAAAAGGATAACTACGAAGTTTAGGATGAAGTCATTGCAGCCGTACTTTGATTTGACGGTTGGGGTTCTCTATTTGTTACCTGGTGGCTGGACAGGCTGGTGCCGTAGTTTGGCTTATAAGTATGTTTTGCAAGCTTTTCTTCTGCGTTGTTTTGTTTTAGTATAAGTTTTTGTTGGTATGAAGATTTGATATTTTATACCAGGGCGTTGTTTGTTTTGGTATTAGTTTGTAGCTGTTTGAATGTGGTGTGGAAATAGAGAATAAGAAGGGTACACTTTGGTGGTCAAATTTTCTGGGTAATGATTTAATTCGTTTCTCTTGTCCGCCAACACTTATCCAAAATGACGGTTGTGTCGGACGAGCTTTACCTTTATATATCAGTGTGAATGCATGTATTATTATGTATGTGTTTTTTAATTTGATGTATTTTAAAATGTAACGTTTGGTATGCGTGATTGTGTATGTTATATCAGCTAAAAGTTGAGACAAAACAATCTTAACTTAACAATATCAACAATCACAACTAAAAGTTGAGATATAATAATCACTCGTTTTGATTGATAGTTTTTGTCACATCACATAAACAATACATGTATTGTTTCTGCTAAAGAATAAAAAAAATGATGGATTCTAAATAATACATGTATAGTAACGATCTTAACAAAACAATCGCAACCTCCAAATGACTCATTAGTTTGTTTCATGGACTAGCATAGGCAGACGTAGAGGCTTTACCTAGCGTCTAGTTCGCTTAGCCATTTAGACGCTAGGCATTTCCTAAACATGCATAGAAATTTGAAGCAAAATTAGCAATTTATAAAATATATAATGAATGCAATAAAAATTTACAACACTCCCATTTTAGTTAGAATGATAGTAACTTACTTAACAAGAAAATAGCTCAGAAGTTCATATAATTATATCTCAATAGCTTATAAATTTGTTGAGTTATTGAAATGATTGATATAGATAAATTAAATAAAAATAATTAATAAATATCAAATTATAAATATGAAAATACCTTATTCGTACAGGTTAAAAAATTCCATGATGTGTTTTCATATTCGAAAATAATTGTAGAATACACTTGGTGTCTATAGTGTTAAAAAAATTGTCTCTATATACAAACTAATTTCATTCACGAACTTATCGCATATTCGATTTGTAAACTTGTTCTTGATGTAACCCAAAGCTGAAAGACTCTTTCAACACTTGTCGTACAATCATAAAATCAATACAAATTAAGGGTAGTTTGAAATTAGTTTAATTGTTAGGTTTTTAAAATAATTAGAGATAGGGAATGCCATTTTACTATTACACATTGTTCAAAATCGAACAACAAATGAGTTTAGCTCAACGGAAATTAAGTTTATTAATAATAATAGTGTTCTAGATTTGAATTATCCAACCTACCACTTATATTCCTATACATAAATGACAGTAGGATAATCATTTTTTCAAATTTAAGGGGTGTCCCTCACTATCAATTATATTTTTTTGTCCATACGTAAATAACCACCGGGGTTGGATAATCGTTTTCCCAAAATTTAGGGGTGTCCGGGGACACCCCTGAACCTCCCTGGGTCCGCCCCTGCTGAGTTCTATTCATTGAAGGTTTTCAGCCGGAACCGAAAAATCGATAAGCAAAACCGAACTCGAAATCAAAAAACCCGAAAACCCGAAACAAACCCGATCCCGAAAAACAAAAAATGTATATAATCGGATCGGTTTCGAGTAAACCTGAAAAACCGAACCCAAATGGGCACCCCTAGCCGCGGGTTTATTAGTCACTGAGTGGGGTGGTTGCTCTTGGAATGTAATTTTCTTGCTGGTCGACGTATTTGAATGGTAGTTAGGTAATGATAGTGTGATTTAATATATACATATATATACATCTCTAATACACGTATGTACTTATTTGATATTGAAAAATTCTAAGACGCGGAAAACTGAAATAACACGAGAGACATATATGAGGGGACTCACCCGAGATATTGACTAATCGGCGATAGAAGCCTCTCGGTAAGATTCTTGACCATAGAGATACGACATCAGTCATCACAATACTACGCCACCTAGTTGACTTATATTTGGCTTGACTAGGTGTAGTAGACTAGCAGAGCAATGAGTCTTATAAAATTTTCCTTCAGTCAGACCGATCATATACACTCATTGTGGATCTAAAACATGCAAGTAATTTATGGCTACTCATTGAAAGAAATAAAACCACCAACATCTCATTTACTATTCCACCAGACTGCTTTTACTGTACCTTTAGACTCATGTTTACTGTTATAGTCTGGAGTGTGCTCGGGTGCAGCTGGCCTTTCGTGTTCTCTACTTAGTTTTCAATGGTGTAGTTTGTTTTGGACTATTGGTTGAATTTGGGCGGGATGAAAAAGCTCTTTGCTGACCACTTTTTTGTCGCGTTGGGAGCATGGGGATTTTATATCTTCCTGGTCGCCTTTGATCGCGTTGATCATGTGGAGATATTTGTTTCCCAACCGAACTCATTTTGCTTTTTGCGATATATTGACGGTTGGGTTGGATATTTGAGATTGCCTGTGTCAGGTGAGGTCTTTTCCCACCCTAGAAATAAAACGGGAGAAAGAGAGTTTTCCCATCGTGGCTGTTGTTCCACCACATGAAGTTTCTATCAGGCGCAGTTTCCGATAGCTCTGCTAATCGCGCAGTTAGGTGAAGGGAAAAAAGTAAAAACTGCCAGGCACAGTTTTCGTTGTTGTCTTTTCGGCCAGGCAGAGAGGGTATCAGGTCTTCTGGGTGAATCATCGCTACTCTCTCTCTCTCTCTCTTTATCTACTTGCGTCCTTATCTCTTTCATATATCCTCTTTCTCCTCCATTTCTTTTCTTGGTCCCTGTTCTGCTTTTTTCCTCTCTCTCTTACAGTTCTTTGTCTCAAAAAATTTCTCAGGACTAATTTTGAGCGACATGGATGCAACCTTGCCGTGTAATGTGAAGGGTGCTAAGGGTCTCCTTAATATCACTTTTTCCTGGTGGTACTTCAATTCTGTGTTGTACTTTTATCTCAGGCATCGAAGGGTCTCCATAACTCTGTGGAACGAGCTCGCTGGCCTCCTGTACCGCACTGCTTTGATTCAGGAAGACTCTATTGAGCCAATGATCATTGCAGTTGGAGGACTTAAGGTTGGCCGGGTGATAGGTGACATTTCTTTCTTGCCTTTTCGTGGTTTGGAGAGATCTTTATTATTTGCTTTTGGGTTCTGATTTGGTCTATGAAAAATTATTTGTTCTTTCGCAGAGGGTGTATACACCTGTTCCAGTTCTTCAGGGACTCGCATATCATTGAACCCTCGCATACCAGAGGCATTGTACAATTGGGTAGTGGATTAGTTGTTTTTTGTGCTTTTTCAGTGTAGTGATTTGTTGTTGTTGTGTTGTGTATGTTGTTACTGAAGTTGTGTGTTTCATTTTCATCTCTTTGTGCAGGTATAAAATCCAGCTTATACTGAGAGATGTGACTGGTGAAGGCCCTTTCATTGTTTTTGGTTCATGTGGCAACAGCTTAGTCTTCACCTCTACTCAGCTGTTGGCCCAGAGATACCCGCACAGGTCTAGCGAGCTGCCTCCAGAATTGAGTGTATTGTTTGGTCAGTTTGCAAAGATTGAGGTTAAGTTGCCAATGGTGGGTTCCAATGGCATGCCAACTGGATAGTTCAGGGTCCTTTGTGTGGTTCCTCAGCAAGCTCATGCAATACAAACACCTGTTCCCCATGCAATACCAGCCCCTGTTCCCCTTGCAATTATGGAAAGTGTTGTCAGTCCTTTGGCTTCTTTGCCATCTCAGAGCAATGACAGTCATGTCACCTGTTCAGCATCGCCAATGTTGATGTCTTTGCCTGCACCTATGGCAAGATCGGTACCATCAAGGTTTAGCTTTATTTTTTTTTTCCTTCTATGGTTAGTTTGTGTTATTGGATGGTCTTTTTGTTTAAGATATCATGCTTACCTTTTGCTTCCTTTCTTTATTTGTTTATGATAATAAGTTCTTCAAAGGGAAAAGAAAAGGTCTCGGGTTCATTGTTGTATGAAAATTCCTGCCCTACTTTCCAAATTGGCCATCAGGCTCCGAAGCTTCTTAGGTACAGTTTTACACGGTCTTATTTGTGAGATTGTGGTTCCATTGATTGGTTACTTTTGTGGTGTGTGTTTGAGATAAAATGTAGTGTCTGAGTGTTGTGTGATCTCTTGCAGTCAAGTAAGGGGACCATTGTTGATCAATGATAAAGTCAGTGATCCTGAGAGTTAGCCTCTTCCCGAGAATGTTACTGAGAAAGTCTTCAATGCAGCAATCAATGATGGTCAGCCCCATAATGGTCCTGCTGGGATATCTGATTCAACTGGTGAAAAGTCAATCATTGCTAATCAAGTTTACCAAGTGCAACCAGTACTTGTTGCCATTATTAATGTGTCAAATACGCCAGTGACTCCCTCACCACCAGTACCAAAGGCTGTTTAGGGATCAGAGGGTCATTCTGGTCATGAATCATTAAGTGCACAGGGTTCTGCTGTTGGAAACTTAGAGACGCCTCAGAGTAAGGTTGCTGCCGTGGAATGATCGACCCCGTCATTTACTTCCCCTTCTGTTCTTTGTGAGTTTTGTCAAACAAAATAAGCTTTCTTTGGTTTAATACATTTAATTTTTTGTTATTTGCTTATTTCGTGATTTCCTTTTCAATGTGACAGGCTGGTATCTCCATTGGCGAAGGTGAAAGTTGAGAAGTTGGATGCTTCAGAGGCAAAGCAAGCCACTGGTGCTGCAAATGCTTCTGTTCCATTTACAATTGGGGGCTCGGAGTCAGCTGAGGGTTCTGCTAAGCGTCCTTCTGCAAAGTGTCGTCTTATGAGACCTAAGGTATCTTATTTTAAAAACAGAGTTACGTTTTGGTTTTTAGAATGGAAGACCCTTTGTGCACTAGGTGGTGATCTTTCAATTCTTAGAGTTATGGATGACATTTTGCTTACCGCGGGTTTCTTATTTTTTTGTGTTTTTGTTTGCAGGTGTGGTGTTTATGGATCCTTGTTCAGCAAGGTGTCATTTTGTCAGGTGGTGTTCAGTACCAGTATCACCATTTAGAACTTTATTAGTTTTAAGTATGATGTATTTATGGTTATTTTGATAAGAACGGTTAGTTTGCTTCTCAAAATCTATTATGTAGTGGAAAATGTTATGGGAATTGTTTTGTGTTATAGATCACTGTCACCCAGCGCTCATTTTGTCTCATCGCCGGAAACTTCCCAGCACGCATTTTGTACTCTAGCTGCTCTGGACTCCTAGCGGAACGGTTCTTGCTATTCTTAATTGATCCTTCACTTATGTTTTTAAATTTCAGCAGTTGATCGAAAAGCTTAGACAGAAAGGGGCAATAGGTGTTTCTGTAGAAAACGACCGAGTTTTAGCATTTCAATTAAATTAGGGCCGGAATAGATTAAATCAAAGGCCCAAGTAGATGGGCTTTACATCCAAAAGCAGTGTTGTGGCTTTATCTCGATCATAATTTCACACAAATAGTCCAAGGCCACACACAAGAGCTTTTGGTTATTAATATGATTGCACTTAAAAAGAAAAACGTACACAACCACATCTGAACACTAAAACCTTTTTGTTATTCAAAATCAACATACATTCCAACGCTAATCATGAAATGGATCTTTAAATATAAAAATCTCTCATATTATAAACAACATTGTTATCGTTGTAAAGTATAATAATAACAAATAGAAGTTCAAAAACATACACAAAAAAACACAACCAGTATGCAATAACAATATTTTAAAACACATATCTCAAATCCCGTCGCGGAGCGCGGGCACTGAAAACTAGTTCCCTATTAAAATGTATCCTACTCGATTTAACTCAAATTTTAAAATTTATACATAAAAAAATTAGATTGATTACGCTCTACAAATGACATCCACCTTAATATATTTTGACGTAAAATTAAATAAAATGATAAACGGAGCTTTTTTGCTATAGTATATAACGATGGTAAAGTTTAATGATACAACATGATATTTATAACGATGGTAAATAGTGATATAGGTATTCTCAAAAGATTCTCAACCATAATATTTAACAACCTTAAAATAAAGAGCCTAAACCCAATAATACACAGCTGCACAACCTATGATTAAATATTTGATCCTACATCCCCATTTTTGCTTCTAACAAACCAAGAGGACCTAATCATTACGAAACCCGATTAAACCACAAAATCGCAGTCTAATAGTAAAACAAATCAGAGGATCAAAGAACAAGACCATAATTAATAATTATATCCAGTCAGACATTATGTCATTATCCAAGTCGATCTTGCATTTCCATCTATATTTTGTTCAATATTGGTAACTACCAAAGACCGAATCAAAATCATGGTCCATGAAACCGTACCGGATATCGTACCGGAAAAGTCAGCAATATAATATTTTATGATAAAACCGTGATTTAATCGTATTTCAACTGTTAGATCGTTAAATACCGCCTATCGGTTTAGCCTCCTATACTGGTATTTCGTGGTTGAACCGCCGGTACGGTTTAATGGACCATGATCAAAATATATCCAGAACTACAAGTGGGAACCTTACCAAACAATTGCACCCGTGAGCGAGACCAATCAATCTGAAGGAATTACGAAACCATACTTAATTGGAATATCCTTCAATGATCTATTTCATCCGGCGCCCTTACTCAAGTCTGCCGTTATTAAATAGTATCTCAACAAATAGCAAAAGAAATACTTCGTGTTTCACCCTCAAGGTGCACAAATAGACAACTGACGAGAGGACAACAAGAAAGAGCATTTAGGCGCTCAACCCAGAACCAGAGTTCCTTCTGCACTCGGCCAACATATCCATGTAGAACTGGCACTTACTGATTTCGCTGCCGGAGCTGTTCAGGCACTGCAAAAATAACCAACCCAATCGATATCACTAAACATCTGGTTTCTGCTTCAGAGTTCAGTTTTAACGTAGAAAGAGAGGCACACTTACATCCTGGAACGCCTTGGAATGAATACCGCACCCGTCAACAGACATGTTGCTCGCAGTGGGTGCTGGGATACCAGCAGCCTCAGCGACAACAGTTTCATGCTGAATAGTACGGGGTCCCATCACAGCATCGACAGCCCTATGGGCCACTGCACTCCCAGTGCCAAAAGCCATCCCTAGATGACACAAAAGTGCAGGAAGAAAAAGTTCACCGACTGTAATTGAGAATCTGAGCTAGAGAATATGAAGGATGCAACAACAAATAAACACTTGTACTCTTCACCTACCTTGTGCGATGGTGGAGCCAATCCCTCCAAGCAATGAGCCGCCACCACTGCTCTGAGCAACAGCAGGAGGAGTAGCTCGATTAGCTGCAAAAGGTCATAGAAACAAAAAGTTAGAACATGTCAATTCTATTGTGTCGAATGCCAAAACATAACCCAGAAAGAAGCAACGCACAAAAAAAAACTTCTAACATATACATGTTTAACAGGCCACTAAAGGACACAATGGTCAACACAACTATACCTGGTTGAGGTGCTGGACGACGAGGAGCTGCCCTAGGAGCAGATCTACCTGTAGAAAAAATTCACAGTATAGCTTACTGAAAGAATAACATCAGAACTAATGAAGACAGACAACACAATTCAACGTGAAAGGTTCTTAAGAAAACCCTAAAAGAAACCAAGTAAGCAGTAACAGCAGCATATATTTTCAACAGACGAAACACGAGGCATCAGCTACTCAAAGGAGGAACAAAACCAACTTGAAACAAAAAAAAACAACAAAATTGTATCAGAGTCTACCTGCAGCTTCTAGGGTGCAAAAAAATGAACCAACTTTGCAACATCAATGATCAAACCGTCTTAGAAGCTTGAAGTTTCAACCCACTCAAAGTAGTTTATAAACTTCGCAAATTCAAGGGTAAACAGAAGGTTTTGCCACAGCAAGTTACCATTTCACGATCTGACTTCAGTTCCATAACAGATCCTCAATAGAGATTCAAGGGTAATAAACTAGTTCGCCGACACTTGCATCGCTCACTCAATGACCATTTATCGAGATGATAAGCAGAGTAAAAGCATGACATAGAAACAAGAACGGACACCCAACCATGGACACAAACCAACAGCGATTAGAATATTTATTCTGCGAATATTTTCAAATCGATTTCGGCAGATGATTTTTACATTCATTAAGCACCATTTCATAAGTATCGACATCCCGAACAAAACAACGCGAAAGGACTGCAGCAGAAGGAAACAGAGAACTAAGAACCCCAAGCATGAGAACTAAGAACCCCAATCTTCATTTCGCGAGAAGATAGAGGAAATCGATGACGATTCAGCCATACGAGATCGGGAAAAAATTATAGATATTTACTATTCCTCTTCCTCAAATCTCATGAACCAATTAACTCAACGAATTCGCAACATAATCAAAGTAGAAGAACGACAGATTAAACTGAAACCCAAGCCATCACACGAAGACGTGAAATGAACGTATTATAAAAATAGGGTCGTAAGAAATTATATATGTAAAAGCAGATCTGAAAGGAGAACAGACCTCCAGAGCTCCGGCGAGCCATGATGTATAGAGATAGCGGCGAAGAAACGAACAGAGAGTTCTAGAGAGAGTCGCAAGAACCGATACAGAAAAGCGTTTGTTCAAAAACCTAATTGAGAAGTCTTCTGGTTGATATATACGAGGGCTGCGTCCTTGATTAGGTGCGCATAGCGTGTGGAACGGTTGGACCGCGCATATCAAACCGACCATTGGACTCGACCAGTATCAAATCGAATAATGGGCCAAAATTTTGGTCTCATGAATTTATAAATACTAACAAAAAAATTGACATGATTAACATTTGGATCGGAACGAATATGATGTTGATCCAATTTTTGGTCCATAAATTTTATAAATACTTTAAAAGATGGACGAATTGCCATTTAGACCGAACCAAATATAATGTTCATCTGGTCATAGATGTCTTCATTATTGATTTGCATTTCTCGTAAGTGCATCACATTAAAATCGTCGGATATGTGTTTAGATCTATTTCTAAGGAAGAAATCTGCCAAACAGTACCCTCTTTTTATATAGTAAAACCTCTATAAAATAATGTAGTTGGGATGGTGAAATTAATAATTAATAATAGTTATTGATTATTTGATAATTTAATAATTTTTAAAAATTATATATTATAAATTAATACATTAAATGATTTTATAACCTTAAAATCGTATTCATATATAGTATATTAACTTTATTTTATTACAAAAAAAGTGACATTTGAAATCCCACTTCGATGGAAAGCTCGATTTCCTCGGATACGGTGACGATGGGTGCGGGCAGTGATTTGGATTAGGAGAATTCCTCGGAGGTGGAGCTGCTGCCATGTATTCCAAAAAAAGGTGGCGGTTTTTATAGTTTGTGGGTAGCGGAAATTAGAGGCAGGTGATGGACGGGTATGTGGTTGGTGAAACGCAAGGTGTTCGTAAGGAGGAGGAGAGTGGCATTAAGGCCGCGATGGTGCAAGTCAAGGATGGCAGGTAGGGCTGGCATTTCGGTTTGCGGTTAGCGGGTAACCGCCGGTTTTAACCGAAAACCGCCGGTTACCAGCTAACCGAAAACCGACCGGTTACCTTGACGGTCGGTGGTCGGATGGGAAAAGGAAGGGGTCGGTTGACCGCGTAACCGACAGTGATTAACCGCGGTTATCCGACCTAACCGGGCCAACCGAGACCCACTTCACCTTCCCCAAAATATGTCCAGATTCATCCCATTCCCAAATCTTAAATAAAAAAAACCCCCCAAATACAGGAAGAAGAAGAAGAAGCAGCAGATCTCGACCAAAAAAAAAAGCAGCAGCAGATCTACACTCGCCACCCTCTCCCTTCTCGCGCAGCCTCCACCCACCAGCAGGCAGCAGCTTCGCCGGCGGTGACCTCTTCTTCTCCTCTCGCCCGCGAACAAAACCCAAAAGAAATAACACAGATCAAAAACAAAAACCAAAATCAAACCCTCAAAATTCGACATGCAAGTGAGAGAACTTGATCTCACCTTCTTCTACCGTCGCCTACCGTTCGTCATCGTAATCACCGCCAGTTTCATCCGTCACCGCCGCCGCAGCTTCATCCATCGCCGCCGCCGCCGCCTCATCCGTCGCCTCCGCCGCCTCAATCCGTCGCCGCCGCTTCTGGGTAAGACGAGGGAGAGCGAAAAAGAGCAGAGAGAGGGAGAGAGAGAGAGAGGCCGAGTTCCTCTGGAAAGGAAGAAGAAGAAGAGAGAGAGAGTAGGGAGGAGGCGGGTTTCTCTGGAAATGACAGATCGAGAAATGGAGTAGGAGGCGGGGGGAGAAGCAAATCGCGAGAGAGAGAGACGAAAGTGAGAAGGGGATTCGTATTTAGGAATAGATTTTTGTTCAATTGTCGAAGTTGGGAGGCTGGAGATCGATTTTTGAGAGAAGAAGAACAAGAGTGGAGGCGATTTGAGAGAGGGAGAGAGCTAGGTTTTGTTTCGTTTTTCTTCTTAAGTTTTTTCTTTTCTGGTTCGTGTTTTCCTGGAGAAGAAGATGAGAGGACGAGAGAGGGTGAGGAAGAAGAAGAAGAGAGAGAGAGTAGGGAGAGAGGCGGATTTCTCTAGAAAGTGGAAAGGAAAGAAAATCGAGAAGTGTGATGGGGTTAGGAGTGAGTGGTTGGCCGGCTAAAATTTTGTTTTTTTAATTTTTTTTTTTTAGAAAAGGTTGTTTTCCGGTTGGCCGGCTAACCGGGCCTAAAACCGAAACCGACCGGTCGGTTGGCCGGCTAACCGTGACCAATCTCACGGTCGGTGGTCTGTGGCTAGGGGGATGTCTCGGTTTAACCGATAACCGGGTTTTTGGTTTTCGGTTAAACCGAAACCGACCGACTGCCACCCCTAATGGCAGGTGGTGGTGGGAAAGTGGATGGGGTTGGGTCGTGCTGAGTAGAGTTGGGTTAGGGTGAATTAGGTTGGGTTATGCAAAGCGTATGATGTGTGAGGTTAAAAATGAGTGAATCAGCAATTCTGTTAGCCACATTAGCAAGACACTGACATTATTAATGAAGGCTGACAAAGACTAGGGAGAGTGACCAAACGTGAAACATAGGGGTGGACATTCGATCGGTTTGGTTTTCCAAACCCGAACAAACTCAAACCAAAACCACCCTTCCTTTCCAAGCCGTATTGCGTCCGAACAAGGTTTTGATTCGGTACACTCCACACCAAAATATCCCCAGTCTGGCTCGGGTTTGGCCGAACTGTTGACTGCTAGCTTACTCCTCCTATACGATGTCGTTCTAACGGCAACTCGCCTCCCGTTCAAAGATTTTTCGCGCTAAAGCTCCAGGCCTGAGTCATACTTGAATAACACGGTGTTGATTTCACACTTCTTAACCAGACTGTCGGAGCTTGCTAGAAGAATACGGATGCGGGTGCGAGGGAAAAAGAGTTGTGCAGTGACGGCGGAAATTGAGACTGATTTAATAGAGGTTTTGACTATCGCCGACTTGTGCTATTGTATTGGTAAGGAATTGGAGGAAGGAGACGAAGGAAATCAGTGGAGGCCGACGTTGCATGGAGTCGATTCGACCTTCGCCATTCACCAGATTCCAGAGCCGATTCGTTGTTTGCCCTTCGCCCTTCGAGACATGGGAGCCGATTCGGAGTTCAGGAAGACGAGAGTTGAGGAAGCAATGGAGTTCAACGATGGTGCATAGAGCCAATTCATCCTTCTCCCTTCGTCGTTCAAGACATGAGAGCGCCACTTGCCCTTCGCAAGATCCCGGAGTTGACACGATGACGGTTGCCGACCGCAGTTTAGGCAATGGAAGAAGAGAGGTAAGGGAGGGAGGTAGGGGGGAGGCTCATAGCAATCGAGCTTCATAGTTGAGAGAAGTCGAGAGAGTGGACTGGGAAGCTCGGGTCTGTCTCTGGTTTGGAGACTTCATGCCTTCTTTTGTGTAGAAAAAGTGGAGGAGTTGGGCATGAATGGGAGATCAGGAGCGAGAGGAGATGAGGGGATCGGAAGTTCGATTCGATGATCGGGAAGTCGGGTCAGTTCATTCCGAACCAAATAAACAAAGCCATTGGAGATTTGATTGATTTTCGACTCGTAGGTGAGCTTTTTTTGCTTAGGTTCGGTTTCGATTCAGTTCGGAACGGTTCGGGTTTATCGAACCGGATGCCCACTTCTACATTTAACCACTTTTAGTGGCCATGAATGGAATAAAATACTTTTAGTGATCAAATGTAAACTTTTTAATACTTCCAATGACCAATTTTGTAATTTACCAATAATTTTAGGGAGAAATCGTGAAATATTTTAATAATATCAGCGATCAAGCTTGCAATATATCGGTAAGAGCATCTCCATTGTAATTGCAATTAGAATTGCATTATGATATGACATTCATTTGCAATTGCATTGATGTACATGACAATTGCATCTTTGCAAACTTGCATATTATGCAATTATTGAATGCAAGCCACATCTATCTTTTTTATTATTAAATTATTCATTAATTTTATTATTTGAGTGTTTATGTTTTAATAAATTAAATCAAAAAAATTAGTTACAATTGCAAGTTAATTGCATTGATGTGGTGCAATGGAAGTAAGATAAGTTGGATTGAAAAAAATGAAGTAACAATAAAAAAAACAAATGCAATTGCAAATACCATTGCACCAATAGAGATGATCTAAGTAACTAAGTATATAATTATTACTTACCAAGCCTTGAAAAAAGAAAAGAGGCATTGGTCTTCCGTCACTTGCTGCCGTCGACGATTAGGATTTCCCCGGCTTTTCTTTTCTCCAAATTCCCCAAAGTCGTAACGTACAGATAGGTTTAGGAGCAAAGATTCCGCAGGGAGACGAAGAGGAGCCGTACCAATTAGCTCAGAATCCGACACTGAGAAGTAGGAAGAGGAGGAGGAGAGGGACATGGACACTACATATCTCTCCCTCCCTGCCAAACGAACCATTCATCTCGCTGCCGGAGGAATGTCCGACCCCAACAAGCGGTTGAAGCACCTTCCTCCATCTCCGAATCAACATCAGCATCAGCTGCCCGTGCCTCCTGGCCACGTGTGCTTCCGCCTCCTCTGCCACTCCTCTCGCGTCGGAGGCGTGATTGGCAAGTCCGGCAGCATAGTCAAGCAGCTCCAGCAGCAGACCGGCGCCAAGATCCGTGTCGAGGAAGCTCCGGCCGAGTGCCCCGACAGAGTCATCTCCGTAGTCGCTCCCGGTGTTGTCAATAGTGGTGAAATTGATTGTTCCAAAGCCCAAGAAGCTTTGGTCAGGGTGTTCGAGCGGATTCTGGAAGTAGCGGCCGAGACTGATGGGGGAAGTATTCCCGCAGGAAGGGTGGTGTCCTGTAAATTGTTGGCGGATGGGAGCCATGCTGGGTCTGTGATTGGCAAGGGAGGGAAGGTTGTGCAGAAGATACAGAAGGACTGTGGTGCTCGAATCAAGGTTATGAGGGATAAGTTACCTCTTTGTGCTGCTTCAACGGAGGAGATGATTGAGGTAAACGTTTCTTTTCTCTCGCCTTTGAATTTACTACATTTTTCTTGAAGAACTCGACTTTGTGTTCACCAAAAAGAAAGAAAGAAAGAACTCGACTTTGTAGGCTTGATTCAACGTTTATGTGCTGGAAATTCATTTTCTTGCAGCTGGTACTGATTGTTGATTGATTTCGAGTCTGTTAATTTTAATCGATTCTCAGATGTTTGGCACAGAGATCTCTGGGGTTGTGAGATGTATCTCTTTCTGTGGAATGTGATATGTTGTTATATGGGGTAGGGTTCTGTCAGAGCTCAACTACTCACAGGCAGTTAAAGATTTAGAAAGAGTTGAAGATATGTAATCTGTGTTCCAAACTTGCCATGTTGAATATGATTCTTTGAGCTACTTGGTTGAGATGGGTAGGGTCCCATATTGATTGTTGAAATTCGGGAAAATAGCACATCGGCATGTAAGATTGTGTGTTTCCTGGCTTGTATTCTATTTTTTGGTTCAACATTCAATAATTGATGTAGCATGGTAATTGCTTAAGCGAGGATGTAGTTTCTGTAATATTGTCAATGTCTACACTTCATCTGGTTAATTGATGCTGTTTTGATGAGTTATATATCTTATTTCACAATTTCAGATTGAAGGGGAACTTATAGGGGTGAAGAAGGCACTGGTTGCCGTCTCTCGCTGTCTTCAAGATTCTCAACTATTTGATAGGACAAGAATGACCGGCAGCAAAGCTGTTGAGGTGGTTCCTCAAGAATATTTCCCTCAGGCGCGGTTGGATGTATTGTCACAACATACCTCACTTCTAGCTGCCACACCAAATATCTCTACATCTTACATTTCAGGAGGTCAATCTTTGTCATTGGAATCTGAAAAGCCGTCCAATCAGGAAACAAGGGAACTGGAAGCGGAAGTTTCTTTTAGAATCCTTTGTTCAAGTGATAGAGTTGGGGGTGTCATAGGAAAGGGTGGCAGCATTATCCAGGCTCTTCAAAATGAGACAGGTGCTTCAGTAATTATTGGACCTACAGTGTCCGATTGTGATGAACGATTAATCACTGTTGCAGCATCAGAGGTTAGCAATCCTGTGCTTGATCCTCTTATACTTATTCATGTCATCATGTGTTTTATGTTAATGCATGCCATGTTTGGAATCTTCTGCTGCAGAATCCAGAATCTCGATACTCTGCTGCACAGAAGGCGGCAGTCCTCGTTTTCACAAGAATTGTGGATGCTGGGATTGAAAAGCGTCTGGAAGGCTCTCTTAACGGATCCTCTGTCACAGCCAGGATGGTAGTCTCAACAAACCAGGTTGGTTGTCTGCTGGGGAAAGGAGGGGTGATAATTTCAGAAATGTGCAAGGTTACTGGTGCTAGCATACGGGTACTAGGACGTGGACAACAGTTGCCAATGTGTGTTCCAAAGAGTGATCAAGTCGTACAGGTACAACATAATCTACTTGTTGATTTCATTGTTTCCGGCTTGGTGGATGTGTCCCTACTTTTATGTGGTCATCTTAGGATGTATTTCTTGTTCTGTAAACAGCTTGCATACCATCCATCTTTACTTCGGCTGAGTCAAGTTCTTTCGGTTGAGGTTGCACATAATACCTGCTTACAAGGTTCAAGAAAGCATTAGGCTTAAGACAGACATTGGGAACCTGCCTAGCGCCTGGCTTGCTTAAGCGCCATCTAGACGCGCCTAGGCGATGGAAATAAATATAGCAAAGGGCTAGTAACAATTAACCAAAAATCTAAACGGAAGAGGAAAAGAAAGACATTCTAAGGAATATACAAAGAGGGAACAAAATTGACAACAAGAAACAACTTCCTTTGGGAGTGGACGTCTCTACACCAAAACAAAAAGGAAGACACCCCTTCCAATCTCTCAACTCATTCCTCACATAAGGATAAAATCTCTAAGTCTAGGTGAAAACCAGCCCCCAAATCCCATAAACAAGCAAAGATAGAAAGAATAGAAATACACCCAGCGGTACAACAGCAGATCGAGAGGGAGAAGAGAGAATTGGTGTGTGGTTTCAATTAGAGTCCTTTTGTTTAAGTTTCAAACTTCATCCTGACCCCGCATAAACCATGCTTCCTCCCTCTTCTTGTCGCCTTGAATGGCAGCTTCTTATTGCGGAAGCACTGGGAATGCCTTAGGCACCGCTTATAGCCAAGGAGAGTGCCTAGGCCTGCTTTTTAGAACTCTGCCTGCATATAAGAGTATAGTTGAGTGGCATATGTACCACTGTTGTGGATGGCATAAGATTTGGTTGCTTATACTGAGGGAAAACTGGTGGAACCTTCAGTCATGCTGCTTTTGTCATTTTCAAAATCTAAAACTTTCCTCCCAATAATGTCCTTACCGCCAATAAAAGCATTAACTCTAATACAATGGAGTAGTTTGGAGATGGAGACATCTCTAGTGGGTCCCTGCTTCTAGATGCTTATTTCATTTATTTCGAGCAATGGATCAGTGAACAATAATGAATTAGATGACCTAAATAATCACTGACAATGAAGCTGGGCACTGGTTGACTGGTTGATATACAGCAAGCCATTTAGTTGGGCTTTGGTTCCATAGTTTTATGGTCCGGCCTATGGTTTCATATTCCTGACATATATTAAATCCTTTTGAGTTTAATATATAAAGTGACAAGTCTTTGACGTTGTGTATAATAGCATGCTATTGCATTGTGCAACTGCTTTTGAGTTTCTGGGTATTTGCTGCCTTTGCATGTTAAACAGATTTCAGGAGATTTGATCAAGGTAAGAGATGCAATGTACCATGTTACTGGCAGGCTCCGAGACAACCTGTTCTCGAGTTTACGGAGCACTTCTATGACAAGGACTCCTATATCAACTGGAACCAATGCTTATGAAAGTCAAAGGAACATATCGAGGATCCCTCTAAGGGAACCATTAAGGGAGCCATCAAGGGAATCTTTCATAGACCAGTATAAGTATCCTTCGGGGGACCCCCCAAGGGAATCTTTCTCGGACCCGTATAGGCATTCTTCAGGGGACTCGTCAGGGGAATATTTCACGGACCCATATAGGTACCCTTTGGGGGATCGATCAAGGAAATCTTTCACGGATCCCTATAGTTATCCTTCAGGAGAGCAACTGAGGGAATCTTTCATAGAGCCATTGAGGGAGCCACTTGGGGGTTCATTCAGAGACCCAATTAGGGATCATTCTAGAGACCGATTAAGAGATCAACTGACAGATCCTATTCCTCTTTCCTCACAGTTTTCAGTTGGCACTTCTCATAGTTTAGGTCGACATTCTAATCTTGCACATAGTTTGGATCATCTAGGTTTTTCTCATGTTCAGGATCGACCCCTGTCCCCAAAGACGTGGACGCCTCAGGTCAAGTGTCCTCTCCCCACTGTTTCTCTTGTGGATGCTGTGGTTTTATTGTCTAACGCTGTAACTTACATGATTAGTTAAGATTTGTCTCCCATTTTTGTATGGTTTGCTTTTGGTAAACAGATGAAAACTGGGGAAAATACAAGAGGCTTTGCTGATATTAGCAGAGGATTATCTTCCTTCAAAGGAGGCCTTCACCTGGCCAGGTTGGTGAAAATACTTAGTTCCTGGAATTAAAGATAGTGATGCTATCAATATCTCCAGTGCTGAAATTTCCACTGTCTATCTCACCATTGTTCTTTGATGTTTTTGTTCATTCTTTAGCAAGTTATTATGTCCATAAAATGTCATGGTTGTAGGATGAGAAGATTTCACATTACATTCTCATTGAATTTTTGCATCCTAGAGGAAGATATCTAGTGTGAATTATGATTGATGAGTGAATTCTTTTTACCTACCTTTTGTCATATCTATTAGCTAGAAACTTATTTTGGATAAGCAACCAGTCATTGATATTTATAAAAAATATCATAAAATCTTTAATGTGTCATCTGTTTGTACTCAGTTCCAGCAAGTCTGCAATTGTCACAAATACAACTGTGGAGATTGCGGTACCTGAAAGCATTATCGACTGTGTGTATGGTGAAAATGGGAACAATCTGGTTCGTTTGAGACAGGTACCTCTTCACTTTCTCATTCTTTCCCATTGATTTTTCCTTGTTTTAATTGTATTATCAAATGGATTAAATAAGTAAGCCTGTCTTTATACTTATCCTCGATGGTCCAGCTTCTGTGAATATCATCATTATGTTCAGAAGGTAGGTGTCTTGCACAGTATATAGACTTACATAAAATCTAGACTGTCTTTACTTCGGTAGACTTTATGTTAAACAATCCATTAAGAGTAAAAAAACAGCAAAAGAAAGATCAATGTCAAAACAAACAAACAAACAGAAAAGGCATCTATTTTTATTCTTATCAAACTGTGCTTTGAGCTTAAAAGCTGGGTAGCGACGGTAAATTGGGAAATCGCTAAGGTAACAACCTTTATAACCAGAGTCTAATCTAATAACACAAGAATATTGTTGCTGTAAACTCAAGAAGTACAGAAATAACTAAACACGAATGCCGAATGTTGAACTCAAAACTATGTCGAGATTTAACTATGAGGCATTATCAAAGACACTGAAACGTTCAACACCAAGAGCTGGTTGTTGTTATTATCTTGTAGTTCTAGAGAAGAAGCCATATAAAACAGGGAATTCCAATGCTATAAAATGCATAATGCTGATAGTCGTGTTTTCATTGCGAGCTATTGTGCATTAGAATGCGAGTCAATCTTACCAAGAAATTGTACACACAAGCAAGTATAACAAGATGAAATTCGTGTTCTTGCTTCCAGTTAAAGTCTTAAAAGAATAATAGAGCGGACAAGCATTTAAAGTTACCAACATATGTCCATTCTTACTTGTAAATCTGAACTGAAATGAATTAGCCACTTATCTTGTCGTCTTAATCAGATCTCAGGTGCCAAGGTTATAGTGCATGAACCTCGTGTAGGATCGAGTGACAGGATTATTGTTATATCTGGGACACCTGATGAAACCCAGGCAGCACAGAGCCTTCTTCAAGCATTTATTCTCACTGGACAAACATGAATAAAATCCACACCTATGGTCAGATATCATATATATGTTAGAATCGCTGGGAAAAGAACTACAACTCTTGCATTTGTTGCTTTCTGTTTCGATTTGCCCTTGTGTCGTCAATCTTCGGGGTAGGCTGTATATTAAACTTCATTCCAAACTACGCCGGAACCTTCTCTGTTCAAGACTCTTTGCACTGCAAACCATCAACATTAGTTTAACTCCATTGCAAGCTGAGTGTTGCTTTCAATAACCATTTGCTGCATCATTATCTCCTTTGCACGTGTATAGATTCTGGGGTTTTGTTCATAACTGTAGTGAAATGACTCCCCCAAAATCCAAAGACCGTATTCAACTCTGCAAATGAATGCAAAAATATCCTAAGTGTTTGCACATTGCTGAATTTAGTGATCCCATTTTCCAGTTGGTTCATGGACAAGGAGATAGATAAGTTCTGATGACTTGGTCATTCTTTATATCAATCACTGAGTCTTCCAAAATGGAGGTATATGTAGGGTCATCTATCTTAAAAAAACTGGTTGTCACTGTTCTGCAACAATCTTAAAAAAATGGAGGTATATAAGAATTGGCACTTAGAATAGATGGAAAGTAGAAGCAAGGTCATCTGGGTTCTTCCCCAGAGCTTTTGCAACAGTCTTGCATTATGATAGAATAGAATGAGGGGTATTATCAACAAGCGCCATCTTGATTGAGTGAAGGATAACATGGTCTTCTGCTACAATTGGTGCTCGTCTGCTCGACAAAGAATTCTGTCTATCCGACCATCGAAGAAAAAGTTTCATCGTGATACCCCTAGGTTGAGAAGGGCGGCTAGTCGCAGTTTCCATGTGGATCGAGCAGTATGATTTGAGACCAATGAACGCAACTAAAGTTAATACTTCTGGGGAAGGAGTTGGTTGTTGAAGGGTTTACCGTTTACACTTCCTTGCCTTCTATATACGTTGTCAACAATATATGAGTTGATTGACGACTTGGGATGAGCAAGTCAATCCGAGTGAAAACAACCACTTAAAAGAAATAAAAATATGGTGTGAAAAATGTGTCAATCGAGTATTAAAGCATGAGTGGAATTATCGGTTTGTGAGGAATTGATACAAGTTCATATTTAATTGACCAAATGGAAGCAAACCGTAAAAGGAAAATAGTTTTGGTTGTAGACTAAGTAGTAAAAATTTAAACAAACTAGCATTTTTGGAGAACTCAATCGAGAAAGCTCTTCCTGAAACACCTAAGTTCACTATCAAAACTCAGTCTATTCACTTTTACTTACTAATAACCTTACCTATAAGATTATAATTATCCCCACTAAAAATTAATACATAGTTAATTTGATTTCTACCGTAACTAGATTAACTAATTAGCCTGAAGAACGAAATTTGTATCGTGATTGCATAATTTTAGCTTACCAAGTCGTCGATCATAATCAGAACTAATTAGATTAACTAAAATTTATACATAATTTTAGTTGATCATAACCTCATACCTTTATTCATGTTGTGTGGAAATATTTAGTTGACTAAAAGTTTTGGAGATGATTTGGGAGTAGTCTCAAGAGTCGATCTGGAGTAGCTTTGTTAAACACTTAAATCTGGGTTTGTCTCCGTTGCATCATCATAATCAGAAGTATCATAATATTGGACTATCTTTTGAGAACAATGGTCCTCTCCACCTTCCTTTTAACTTCTCTAATGATCACTGAATGAGTGGTTTCTAGTAACTTCAATCCCTGGGTTGGGCTTAGGAGAAGCTAATTGATGGATCATTTTACATTATAGCCATGCAAAATCTTCATTCTTCAAAATTTAGTTTTACCATCCACATTTTGATCAAGCTTCGTGGGATGATGATGAATGGACGATGAAGTGAGGAAAGTTGGGATTGTTGAGGACCGAAATGGCAGATCTCCTTCCATCGACAATTTTGAAGGTGACACTAACAGATTCAACTCGAAGAGAATATACTGTCGTGAACATCTACTACAACTCGAGCGGTTGATAAGAATGGTCGTCCAAGTGTCCAGGTAGCATCAGTTTCATTGGTGTTCATGATCACAAAATATGCAGGAAAGATAAAAGAACCAATTTTAACCAATGAGATTAATGTATTATCAAAAGAAGATGGGGGACAAGAAAAACTCTTATGAACAATACCCCCGAGGATTGGAAATCCACTTTAAGAACGTGTGGGCATGAATAGAGTTGTTGACACTCTTCTATACATTAACCGTCAGCATGGACTTGATAGAAGAGTTGAAAGTAACGAAATCGCCAAAAACAATTGATACTCCTATTCAGGTCACGAGATTCCCTTTGAGCCTAACGAAATAAAGACGTTAAGGGTTTTTAGAGAAGAAAAAGGTTTGAGTAATCACCCTACCGTGACATTTTAGAATCTCTCTTTTCATTCATGTTCGATTTGTCCTAGATTCACTAATCCGCAGGAAGGACAAAATGGGTAATGCCTCCAAGGATGTGCTCAGAGTCTTCTATTGCTATGGACTTCGTAAGTTGTAAATGGCGACTTCCGACGAACTAAAGTCTGGGGAGATTATTTGTTTGTTTTATAGTTTCTTGGAGCATGTGTATGCTTTTGATGCCTTGCGGAGGTTATTTTATGTGGGTTTCAGAACCTGACATACTAGCGGATTAATGCACAACCACATGGAATCAAACGGGAGTACTTGGATTCTGAAAAGGGAAGGTAAAGTTATTCCCAAAACCCCGTATATTTATAAATAATTCATTTTTTGAAAATTCTCTCATACTAAAAATTGTAGTCCTTAAAAAGTTATGCGAAATAAAAAATAAAAAAATTCATGATTTTTGGATTGTGGAGCACAAAGTTATTGTCGTTCAAAGTTCATCAAAATCGAAAAAGGCTCGTTCGGGGTGCAAACGACATTTTTTCGAGACGAAGGCGGGACCAAACCTCCTACGGCGGTTTGCGGCTTGCAAGATCTCGAAAAATTATGCGGAATAAAAAAAAAATTCGCTACGATCGGATAACCGAGCACAAAGTTACGTTTGTTTAAAGTTTCGACGCAGGTCAGGCCTTCACCGCGGCCCTGTAATGCGGTGATGCAATCACCGCCTTCCTCTGTCGCGGTGATGCAATCACCGCCCTCCTCTGCCGCGGTGAATACCCAAACATTGGTAGATTGGAAATTATTTTCATAACGTGTGTATTTTGAGAATTTTTTTTTAAAACATGTGTAACTTGGGATTTTTTCCCCATTTTTTTCCACAGGAGTTAGTCCCTAAAAACACACTCCTCTATGGTTTGTGGATGGTAGAGAGAAGAGAAATACACTCCATATCATTGAATTTTGGGTTCAGTGTATTCCACACACCACATAAGCTCCTAAGTCATTTTTTTTTGCCATATCACCCATAAAATTCCCCCATTTATTCAGACAAAAAAAAAAAAAACCCAAAACCCTAATGCTCTCTTGCAAAATGTCATCTTCCTCACAACTACGTCAAGTCTTATTGACGGAGAACAAAACAACGGTATGACGAGGGCGGTTGAGGCGAATGCCTCCCCCAAATCGACCTCTTCATCTCCTAACAAAATTGCAATTCAAAGGATTCAGGTGGCAGCAGGAATTTGGTTTCTTTTATTGTCTGAATGGATGATGATGTAATGTAAAAATGGAAGGATGCACATTTAGTCGACTTACATGGTATCCAGTGCCCTAAGTAGATTTTAGTGGCATCCTCCCCCAATTCTCTTGAAATGTGGCATCAAGGAGAGCAAGCGTGACATCAGTGAGTGGAGAAAACCTCAACTATGTGGTTAGTGAAGTGCAACTAAGAATTATTATACATTTAATATTTTAATTGATTAGCTTGTTCATATTAGTTAAAAATACTTTTTAAATTGTATAGGTTGAACGAGCTTAACATATTTTCAAGGTAGACACAGGAAAGGCTTTCAATTTGCAACATTGTTGGGAGATAATTCAACATTCTCCAAAGTTTTTGCATCAATTTACTTCCCCTGTGCCACCCATTCCACCAATAGGTGGATCTGCATCGGGCATGCCATCCGACTAGAGTGATAGCCTCGACGTTCAAGCTACTTCTTTGTGATCAACCTTCCCGAAGGCTGGGGAAAACAAAAGAAGAAGAATCAAAAAGTTGGGACAAGAGTATGACCAAATTAGTGGATAATTTGAACACACACAATACTAGTACTCGATATAGAGGAACACGAAGTTGAAAGAGAAGCAAGAGATAGAGCAAGAGAATTAAAGGAGAAGAACAAACATGAGATGATGGTAATGAATAAGGATCTTTCTCAGTCATTGATCTCCAGCTTGGTATCAAAGACAAAATGATGACATTGTGGCTTCTTACCAAGATGATCCCGATATGTAATCTTTATGTAGTTTTGTCCTATGTTTGATGTGCTCGTTTCCTTCTAATTTTCATGAAGTTGATTTATGTTTGATGTACGCTTTTCCTTGTAATTTTCATGCAATTGATTTATGTTTGTTGTACGTTTTTCCTTGTAATTTTCATGTAGTTTATTTCTTGATGTATGCTTTTCTTCAACTGCTAATGCAAGTACCTTCTTTATTGCAAATAACAAGGAAGTACATTAAGATAACATAGAAAATACGTTAGGAAAACATAGGAAATACATTAGGGTACCACTTTCTTTATTTCGACAATTGGATTACTCTCGTACTCACTGTTGACCTCTTTTCCATCCCCATACTCGTATCGATGATCTTACACTATCATATTATGCATAATAATACAAGTTAACATGATATCACCAAGTGTTTACGCATCCCAAAGACGACTCGACCCCCTAACAATGGCTCATCTTTGTTGAAGTATGCCAAAGGCCCTCTCAACATCTTTCCGGTAAGCCTCTTGACACCTTGCAAACAACTTTTTTTGGTTACTTGGATTGCTAATAGTCTTCACAAATGTAGCCCACTCAGGATAAATTTCGTCAGCCAAGTAATAACATTGATGGTACATTTGACCATTTACCTCATAACTAACCATGGGAACCAGTCCTCGAACTGCTTGATTGAATAATGGGGACAGTCCAAGAGTATTGATATCATTGTTTGATCTAGGCGTTCCAAATAGGGCATGCCAAACCATGTGTTGTATGACGCCATAGCTTCGAGGACAACGATTGGTTTCTTCTTGTGCCCAATGAATTGGCCTGCCCACCTAGTTAGACAGTTCTTCCACTCTTAGTGCATGCAAACAATATAACCAATCATGCCCGGAAAGCCACGTTGTGCAACATGATGAAGGAGGCTACAAATATCATCTATTGTTTGTGCACGCAAGTATTGAGCACCATAAATGTTGGTGATAGTCGAGTAGAATTTCCTCAGACACAACAGTACGGTGCTCTCAGCCATTCGACATCACTTATCCAAAGAGTTTGCCGAGCATCCATAAGCAAACATGCGAAATGCACTAGTCAGCTTCTGATGTGGGGAGGATGAGTTGTGACCCACACCATCTGTCCCCTTGCTTGAAGTAGTCATCGTACTGAACAACATAGTTGATGACTCGGTTGAATAAGGCACTGGTCATCCGATATCTTGTTGTGAAGTCCTTAGCATCGTAGGTTGGATTTGGGTTGGAATAGTCTTGCATCAAGCGCTTATAAACGTCTTCCTTGATATGTCTCACTGTTTTTCGTGTTGATGAAATGCCAGGAGATGAAGTTGCTTTATGTTGGTGAGGATGGTTTGCGCAAAC